TACTTGAATACGTCTTATATTCATAATCAAATTTTATTACTACCATACCTCTACTATTGCAAATAACTATACCGTTAAGTTAAGATCTCAATAAGATTTTATATTAAAAAAAACTCAGTTGATCGGCCGGAGGATATTCATATTTAAAGTAAGGTACGGGAGGTGCGCTGAGCTGTTGCGAATTGCTAATTACCAAAACCAGACGAGGTGCCCGGTGGAATTTATGAGTTTTAGGGATCGCACGTGGACACAATATACTCAGTAAACATGACGAATAAAACGATTCGTGTTAATGTATGCTCGAACGCAATGTCTTGATGAAGTGAATTCCTGCATGTTTATAACAAGTTTTTTTATGCAATTTGCAAATTTCGGTTGGTCTAAATGTATCACTGTACAATATGTTACATACTTATTAAATTTTGTAAGATCCAGATTTTTAATGAAATAACTATCTTAGCTTAAGTAACAAAACAACGACACTTTTTTCAAAACTACTATAAATCCATGGTTGGAAAATAATATATTTTTAATTTTGAACCTTCTATCCATCCCATTTAAACAATGGGATGGATAGAAGGATGAATGTGTCCTTAAATATTCAAATTATTGGTATAACAATATAGAACGGTATGATAAACTTGAAAAATGAACTAAGGGTATTTCGCTGGTTTGTAGGTATTGAAACTACCGTGAGTCACATCAGGTACATACTTGTATCCTAGTATACCTAATGTACAGGGAGCGGCAGAGGGCCATCTGCTGCCACCTGTGCTGAGTCAGGTGGCTCGCTGATCGTCCAAGCTGTAGGCTCCACGTCGCTTTGCCGCCATGGAGGTGATCTGTCACCGTCATCGTTAAGCGAGCTGGTCGGCAGCACGGGACCCTTTTCTTCCGCTGATGCAGGTCCTTTCTCACCATGGCTGCTTCGATAAGTACCTGCACTTGGTTGCTAGAAAGGAATTGAATCCCGCCGCGACTGCAGTGAGGATTGGTCTCAGGACACATTGGCGGGAGGAAGAGCTCCACTTGAACCTGATACACCGCTGTCGAACTTTGCGGTGGAGGTGCGGCTTCTAGTGCCCCATGACACGAATTAATTTAAACAAAAAGCCTAAAGTAAAGAATGTTAAAACACACGAGTGTTTGTGTATACTTTCCAAAAAATCTTAATACATAATATTGTGGAATTTATTAAAAGATGAAATTCAAACTCATAAATAGTTTTAAATTTCTGCTAGATCACTAATACACTTCTTGACTTAATTAACCCTTAAAAGCGTCTTGATAATTTGACAGGGAACAAAAAAGCCTCAACAAAGAAAGCCACTCGATGTCACGTATAAAACTGGGAACTTTGGACAAATTCAAGTTTTTTATGTAGTCTTTTGTGTGTGTTTTTTCTCACAGTTGTGAGGCATCTGAAGGAGCACGATTCGGTAACGCACCGAGGAAGATGTTATCGCGACCATTAGAGGGTTGAGCTACAACGCATTGAGACATTTTGACACGTTCGGGTTTTTGTTTAAATCCCTTTAAAAGTTGTTATTTTAGGTCAATGATGGCGCTTTATCGCACTACATTTTGACATTTTTGTTTTTTTTTTTAACCACCAATTTCCCTGTCAGCGAAATTGCATTATTCTGACCGAAATGACTAGCATGCCACAAGACGTTATGAAAAAAAAAATCCAATCCTCTTATAATAAAGTCGTCCCGGCGAAGCGGACAGTTCCCACGACACGTCCGCAGATAAGAGCTCGTCGGAACAACGCATCATGTTTTTGCACCGTCATAACCACATTGTCTTTGCCACTCCATCACCTGAAGACACGTTGTTGATATAAAACGCCAATAAATGTCACTTTTTTATGACACATTCGCGTTGTGAATTCACGTCACGTGCGCGTGCGCCGACAGATTTGTATCGACGCATGTTCGCCACCCTGTGTGCCCCGGCCGACTCATTCTCTCACGCGGCTTCACCGACGTCCAACGCGCGCTACATCTCACGCTAATCTCGCCGACCATCGCCGCTATTAACGCCCGAGGCGAAAATCTTTTCTGACAATGGTCTCATTAGCTTCACAAAAGTCATTAAATCTTCTACAGTATATTGTAACAGCGTCACGTACTACAAGAGCGCTAACGACGTGTGGAGGATCTTCGGGAAGCGGAACAAATTTCGTGATCTATCCAGAATGCCATCCGTCCACTGCATTCTTTTATCGATGTTCTAGCAAAAAAAAAACCCAACGGTCCGGAATCATTATTATCTTTCTTCTTCGATCATCGATCGCTATTATCCTATTTAAAAGCATCTCGATTTGTTCTTAACTTTTTTTACTTTCATTCTCCTGTCGGCGTTTCAATTCGGGACCCCAACAATGAATACGTTAAGAAAGATGTTTAAGTGGTTAGTTACGGTGCTTTTTTCACAATTTTTCAATTTAAACACAGTCGTGTCGCTGAAGTGCCGGAAGGTGTCGTTACGGAGAATTACCAATACTAATAATATCGAAAGTACAATGGAACCAATAATATTTTTAAGTTTGGTCTACAGCTTATCTTCTCACAATATATATTTATAATATTATATATATGGTACTTTATTAGAGCGCATTATCCAATCTGATTTTATGAAGTTTAACGAAGAATTTAAGAGTACTATTAAAATGCGTGCAGCAATAAAAGGGCGTGGAGAAAATTGAGTAACTTCGTTGGTACTCGAGTCCAGGCAATTCCAGTTAAGATATTAATTGGTCGAGCGCTGGGCGGGTGGGGTGAGGTGCGCGGGGGTGTGCGCGCGGGACCCACACGTAGCGTGAAATCGCGGGGCGCGGGTGCGGGGCTCACCTGGCCACCACTAGCTTATTATTTGTTGTCTCCCATCCTCCATGCTCGTAAATTTCCACGTCAACGTGTGCGATGATGGTGGAAAAAACAAGGTCGACAAAGCCTTTTCACACCCGTAGATAGACATAAAGGCGAACGATGCTCTGTAAATACCTATATTAAGAATATAATACGTTCTGAATGTTCAGATGTTCCGTTCACCGGTGGCCTCTTAATGTGCGTGAATAATTTTTCGTCGTAATAAATTCGGATTGTAATGGTTGATCGCGATTGGTTTAAAACTTTTGTTGCGTTTATTTTAATATACAGAAAAAATTGAATTATATTTTACTTGGTCGGAGACTGGTTTTAGCATTATCGATACTAATTACAAGGTACCTACGACTTTGAAATAATTTCTTTGATATTATTGGCAGTCTGGTATTGACAAAAGCCTAATAAACATATGTTTTTATCAAGGGTTTGCTGGTTTGCTCTGGTCGTGTAATGTATTGTCAATACAGTGTACTTAACTTACATTACTTTGACAGGTTAATTGGCGTAGTGGCTGACTGTTAATTTGTTTTAATATCTGGGGACCTCCCAGAAGGTTACTTTACCGGGAGGCTCTTTGTCGTCTTGTCAAAGGATAGAGAAGAAAAATAGTAAAACATGATATAGCCACTACCACAACCGGGCTTGTGAATAAACCAATAAAATTACTATATTATTTCCAAAGAATTTAAAAATACTCTGGAATTCTATTTCCTACTCTTGTCATTATTGATTCTAAAAGAAACCTGTGCATACTTGAGGCAGAATCTTTCAATTAAATGCAAAAAAATAAGAGCATATAAAATTGAAATCTGTCTAAAGAACTCAACTCTGTTGTCCTATATAAAGATAAATAAAACCTCGTTATTATAGGTCTCTCACGCGTAAGAATTGATTGTTCTATTTTGACAATTATAGATTAGTTAAGGCGTGAAAGTGTAACAAACAAATAGGCGAACTCACTCTCGGATTTATAATATTAGTTAGAATTAGGCAAGTTCGGTTGTTAGAATACAATTCTATTGATAATGTCACCGAAGAATACTATGCCGCCATACAGGTTTGAAGTCCCTAAGGATGCCCAATCTTTCTGTACTTCTTTTTGTGTACAAGACCCCCACGAGACTTCATCTTGCCGGGACCTTAAGTAGGTAGGTTTACTCTAAAAAGGAGATCTCTGAGAACCCTGACACATTTTGATGACTGTTGAGCAAGGCGACCTCACTGAGATGTGATGGGGGGAAGGAACCTTCTTCCTGTTCCCTCTAACACAGACAGACGTGCACTCGCTTTGGACTATACACATACTCATTCAGGTTTCAGACGAGCGGCTCTCGACAGCCGCCGTGAGGTTGGCAAGCTAGCGTTCTATTTTCAACCATAATAAATGGATATAATTTTTATTAAGATAAGATAAAGTTTATCATCTTTTACACAAAGAATACTTAATATTAGGTTATTACTGTAATTGCTTAAGACCGTTTTGTGAGACTAGCATCAACACTAGGGAACTCTATCACACAGATTACCATAGTACAAAGTTTGTACTATACTTATGTCTAAATAACGAGAAAAAATCGTTGCCCATCGAAACCATTTCTAGTTATTAATCTTCATGCGTTTGTTTTTATATGGACTGGAGCTAGATATGTACTGTTTTTATCAAGGGAGAGCCATATACACGCCGGCTCCACTAGAGTGATACCATTACCTCACAGAAAACCTGTGTTGAGCAATTCTTTCGTTCCTCTTCACCGAGTAAACGAGGTTACCGGATTAGCACCCTTCTCTCCCTTCCCTTAATTTTAGGGGAAGGAGGGGTTTAAACTGCGGCAACGTATTTGTGACTGTCGTGTGGTTGTCCATGGGCAGTGATACCCACCATTCCTTTAAAAAAAACAGTGGCACTTCTGAATGCTATCAGAAGTGAAAACTTTTATACTTATAGAGGTGTCGGTAGCGGTAACAGTGTCGCGAGTTCAACTGTTTTTTCTCATCTCAAAAAATGTGTTTTTTGTTAAACAATATAATACATTCTTTTGTTTGTTGTTCAAAAATGCCCAGCGCTTAAAAAAGTTTTCACTTCAAAAAATATATTAGAAAGGTACTAACCTCTTTTCATAATAGAACTAGCATGTGGGTTGCTACTCTTAACTAGTAGGCTGGAACAATTCCACCTGTGCCACCGAAACTGATGCTGGCATTCTTTAACCGCTAACTGTAGACCCTCAAAGGCTATAGCGACTGTGTCGGGGGCTTCGTTACAGACAGACCTTTGTTCTCTGGTCAAGCCGCCTACTAGACGGCAAGTTAGGGACGAGCTGAGCTTGATGTGGCTGGGGAGCATGTTGTCTCTTGAGCTGGAATAAACAAAACATGCTTTGCAGTAAATACAGGATATAGTGGATAGTGGAATAAACTTGAAGATACAAACAGAAATAGGCAAAGAATATATTCAAAATAAAGTAAGTTAATATATACTTCTAATTCTATCTCGGTATTATTTTGTATTTGTTTGACGTACAAACGCCAACACATCAAGAAGTAAATCCCGTCTCATTCGACTCTCACATCTTCCTGCCTTTTGCCGAATTTATTTAGAACAAGATACGACATTGCATAGGGCTTGGCTCTTTATTCTTACGACCGGCCACCTGCCGGACACAAAACTTCCTCGGGAATGTCTATCAGACAGTACAAAGGAAGGGGTAAAATGGAATAAGGAGTACCGTAACTCTCGGATTGAATTGTCTCGAACTGTATTTGTAGTAATAATTTCCGAAAGTGAAAGCTATTGTTTACGCCCAAGTGTTAAATTTCTAAATTTGAGACTCTCGATATAATTACTACCTTTTGCCTGCGGTACCGCACGAGCGCATTTCGGTTATCACGATAAAAGTAGCCTATGTTACTCGCTGATAATGTAGCTTTCCATTGGTGAAATATTTTTTCAAATCGGTTTAGTGGTTTAGGTGTGGAAGCGTAACAAACAAATAAACAAACTAACTCACTTTCACATTACATATATGAATATAAAAATGTTAAGTTCTGCTTTGCAAGTTTATGTTAATCTGCTGCTGCAAAAACTCAAAAAAGTTCTGTACTGATTGAGCTTAAATTATTTTTATATTCTTTTAATTTTATGTCTTTGTATTATGCTTGTTTATTTTTGTAACCTCCACTTACTCTGAAGCTGTATAACTCCCGAAAGCTGTGTACGGTAGTAATTGGAGTGCAGATTAAAAAATGTTATTAATATTTATAAGTAAGTTTAAGCACTACCTGGTCTGTATTCTGTAACTGTACCTTTTGTAAATAAATAAATAAGTTTTGACACGATTTGCAAACCGCTCCAAATATTGTTTTATCTACTTTTTTGTTTTGTTTCGTTCTCATTTCTCATCAATGCAACCGCAGTGTGTTACAGTGAAGCGAGGCAGGGTACAGCTGGTGGCTTTATAAGTTAAATTTTAAGTTTACGTTATTATTTCAGTGTAATAAATAATTTTATTTAAATGATTCTCAATTCTGATCGAACAAATCATCCGATAAAGAAAAAAAGTATCTCCTTCTTCTTCCTTCCTATAAGTAGCTTTCTACTCCATTATCACATAAACAAGAGTAGCTATTTTCTACAACTAACAGCTATTTTGAACATCTACCGTCTCATCTAAACGATGGTAGTAATACAATAAATTATCCCTCAGTCGTCGTATAAACAAACATAATTACTGATTACGTCACCACCACCACACATATCGTCCACTAATTGGGCCATTCTCATGACCGAAGTGACTATAATTAATTTATTAGGAAGTAAATACGAGTTTCAGATATTATCTCAAATAGTTTTAATTTGTTCTACAGTCTGGTAGCTAATATTCCTAATATTTGTTAGGCATTTTGCTATAGAAATTCTCTGCGGTCTTTATGATCGAGTTTGGAGAAAAAGTTTCGTGTTCGCTTCCTAAAGGGCTGCGTATATTTAGACCCTCCTAAAGTTATTTATGGGCTTAATCTTTGAATAATTTTACCTACTTAACATTAAAGCGTGAAAACTTAACATTTGTAACAAAGAATGTGGAGTTTTTTAAATAAATTCTCATCCTCTTCAGGTAGTTAAATTTCAAAATACAGTGTTACTTTGCCAAACTATTTTAACCTCCTAAATAAAATGATAAAAACCATATAATTGTATTTCTTTCAGCAAAGAAAACTTTTTAAAATGATTAGTAGATCAATCAAGGCTACAAAAATAATTGTTGATATTAATTGGTTGAATTGCTTTTCAGGTTTTGTTGCAGTGTTCATAGTCTCGATTACTATAGTCGACTCCAGAAGTATATACTTCAAGGACCACGTACGTAGCAGGTTATTTGCCGACGTTCTTAAGAAGTCACAGCTATTAAAACTATAAATCTCAGTCTACTCATATTTTCTCAAGAACATGTCTATGGCGAACTAGCATTGTGTTGTAAAATGTGTAAGTAATAAAAAGACTGACTATAAAGTGTATTCCAACCCACACCACGATGAAACAGCAACAAATCTTGAAGCTATGTAAATAGAGAGACAGGAAGTGCGACAGATTAAATAAAAACTAAGGCGGCACGTACAGTCTTCCAAATCAGATCAACGCGACTGTCGCCCGATCGACACTGATAAAACTAAAGGTCAAGTTTAAATAGAACTTAGTTTCCCTAGTCTTTATCTAGACATACATTTAAAAACACTTGGGAAATGTTGGTACTTAACAAAATATATCTCGTGTCCGCTTAAATTAAAAGAATAAAGCCACTAAATGTCGATACAAGAAATTAAAAAGTAGTCTATGTATTCATAAGAGTCTTGCAGTCAGTCTTTGTTACTTTGTGTTCTCGTGGCGTAAAAGTGAGGTTATGTTTTTCGTGCTCAACACTAAAACTTTGAAGGCACCTTGTTTTTTAGGGGGTACTTTTGTCTAATATTTTGTTGTTTTATTGAAATACCTAGTAGACATGGGACATTTCATTCGATTTTTGCGTACGTAGATTAGATGCTAGGTAGGTAGGTTAGATGCTATTTAACAGTAAATCTAGTATTTTTTAAAGTATTATGTAGGAAATGGTAGGCATATATATAATAATTAAATTACTAGATTTACTGTTGAATAGGCGAAATAGGGTCTTTATGCATCGTCTGAAAACAGCTTATTGGCAACAACGCAAGAGTAAGTAGTAACCCTAACCTACGTACGAAAAAATCGAATGATAAATCACCGGTATTTCACAGTTCACTGTGATTTTGTCCCATGCGTAATACCTAGTATTGTATATTCTGGTTTTTGTCTGTTAGGAGACTAGAGAAACAAGATAATGACGTCCATTGATTCCTTCAATGCAATGGAGCAAGCAATGGATATAGTTTGGTAAATACCTTCAAATGTATTTTTAAATAATTCTTAAATATATCTTAAGAGTAGTTAATCTTCAATACATCTATAAACATTCTTTTGTAAGTGAGAGTGTAAGTTTTATCTCATGTAGTATAGTCTTCATGTGGTGGTGGTGGTTCTTAACCGTTATTATAATATATACATTTTGGATAGTTGTGAGAACAGATGGTAGCCACTTACCTTTAGGGAACCTTCTGATCTTATGCTTTCCTATATTATAATAGATATTGCATTTAACCTACAAGTTTTCGTTATTAATGCTACATATAAAGGCAGAAATATGTTTTTTGGAGAGAAAGGTTCTATGTGTTTCGTTATCATACGTAGCTGTTTATTCGTTGCAACTGAATTTAACGCCAACTAAAGCTATTTAAGGCAAATTTAATATGTATATTATTATGTTTGGAAGTATTGCTATTTAATATATAAATTTACACATTTAGAGCAAAACCAGAAAGAAGAACCTGAGCTCCAACCGCCCCCCTCCCCCTTACTCATAATTATTTAGGAAGGGGGAGAACTCAAACTCTCACGGCTCACTTACTTATGTCATAAAAATGCTTACCTCAGAGTACATCTACTCGTATTAACCTATAATGTTCATAGTTTCGATATTGCCACAAGAAAGCGGTCAATTGTATCTCAAAACCAGATTTATAAAGCTAAAAAAATCATTCGTTTCTTTTAAACGGGTTGTATACTGAATAATTGTAAACACCTTTCAAATTCCTGAGTATGTTTGGTCAGAAAATAGTTTAAGGGCAAACGCAATGCGACTATTTAACTGTGGATAAACATTTCTTATCACAAAAATGTATGGATGTTGATTATTTCGAGTGTTCTAATGAAACAAAGGCGAGAATTGATGGTTCTGCATGGTTTTTAATCTATGGGTACTAATATTATAAGGCTGAAGAAATTGTTTGTTTGGTTAAATGCATTAATCTCAGGAATTAAGCTTCCTCGATAAATGGATTGGATAGCCCGTTTATCGAGGAAGACTGTAAGCTATATAATATCCAGGTACGCCTAATAGGAGTGGCGCATCAATGAAAAATGTCAATTCTCGTAGTAATGATACAAGTGGATGTAGACAGTTGTGTCTAGATATTAAGCTGCAAATGGCAAAGCTAAGTTAGTTGCTTATTAATGTGATTTTCGCTGAGTGGAACCTCCACAATTTAGATGCCACTAGAATATAGGATTCCTCTTTATACTCTCAAATGGCAGTAAAAATAGACTGAAACTGATATGGCACTTTCTCATTCCACAGGTGGCATAAATGTGAGTAATATATATGTAAATAATCGTCTTCCATAATTCACGTCAAAATAATATATTTTTTCTTTAATATTTTTCTCGTAAGAAGGAACTCTAAATGCGATCGTAACAAGTTAAACACAGTTTTCCGTCTTTACATAACTGTTTGTTATCTGTCCCTTCCCACGGTTACTTTACAGGGTGGGTCCGTAACTGTTACAGGATGAGCTAAACCCACTTAATGGTTGTATAGGCGCGACAACAATGTTAGGATTTATCATTTGCGGAGACACGCGCAGAATGACGTACTAGAAAATTTTCTTGAATGTTACCATTTTACGCGTCTATAAATGCTTTATAACATGTACCACATTATTGTCTCTATGACTTTGTGTTAAAAATAATATCGAGGAGGCCTTAGCAATCTTTGTTGCTCTTAAAACAGTGTATTGTGAATCCATACGTGTCATAGTACAGATAATCGAACTCAAACTGCAACTACGTTAAACAGATTTATCCCCTTCATCAAATCAACAGCCTTTAACAGTCCACTGCTGGACATAAACCTCTCCTTAAAAAGGAGGTTTTGGCCTACTATACCCGTCATATTACATAATTATTCTTCCTCTTCATAAGGAACTAGACGCGTCGCT